AATGATAACATAGGAAAATAAAGTTGATTCTTTATAATTAATCAGACCACATGCATGTTTGAACTTCATTAATTTTTTCTTTTGATTTTCACGTATGATAAGAGAATTAATCAAACCTTCATCAATGCTATAATTTATTAAGAGTAAACGACTTTTTCACACCCAAATAATGGTTTAATGAACTTTTTCACTCACAGATTTTTAAAATACCACTTTACTATCCAAATTTATATTCTTTTTTCTGATCACTCACTAAAACCTCTCAAATCTTACTCTTATCGACCCTGCCAATCACCGACAATCGAGTAATTAGGATTTACGCAGTTATCCCTCCCAAGTCAAGTTCTGATCAATCACAATCACCAAAATCTAACCTTCCATCATCCAAAAACTCATCGACCTCCTCTCTTCAAAACCCTCAATAGCCTAGACCAAATTTTCTCTTTGTTCGATGTTAAAATATAAATTTAGGTGATAAAATAATATTTAAAAAATTTGTGAGTCAAAAAAATATCATTAAACCATGATTTGAGTGAGAAAAAGTCGTTAACTCAAATTATTAAGTTGGAAGAATTATGTTATGACAGCATTAGTTAATTAGTACTCTTATGCAGAAGCAAAAGAATGAAAAACTGAATTACTCTGCCTCTTAAACCCCCCACATTAATTAAAAGGTTCTATTAATTAATAGCTCTGAAGAATATTTTAATTTTTTTTCTTTTTAACTTGGTGAACAGAACAAAACAGAGCAGAGCTTGAACGTGGAAACTTGCTTCTAACGCATAGAGAAGCAAAATTAATTGTCGTTTAGGAAAACAGTTTGCACGAACACAATCCATATAATGTCTCTCTCTTCAGATGTACAGTAAGGGCCATCTGATATCTTTACGTAATAGAAATATTTATTGTCAGTTATTTTTTAGATTTTGAAAACAGTTCCTACAGTCTGCCCAAGAAATGAAAACAGTTCTGAGAATGGCCAGGCGAAAATGCTTTTCACCTTCAACCTTTTACTTTATCTCAAGGGAATTTTTCTTCATAAACCATCTCTCAATTGCTAACAGTCAAAATATTAAGAAAAAAAATTAATTTCTTTTTCATAAAAGACTTTTTCCTTATTCAAAGACTCAAAGAATAACCCTAAGGGGTTTATCAAACGGTCATAGACGATTTGTTCACTTCTTAAGTTCTTAGCTTCAAATCTTGGAGTCACATACTACAATAATATTATGACTTACTTAATCCTTTAAGTTTTTAGGGTATTCAATAGATCCTAGGGATGAGTTGAGGTACGAGCAAACTGATCCAAACACCGTAGTTAAAAAAAAAGAAGAAAAATACTCCAAAGAATCCAGTCACAGATAATATATACTTCAACATTTCATCTCTAAACCTTTTCTTTTTTCAATCTTACAATGAGGCCATTGATCATTTTTCTTTCTTTACCAAATTTAGTAAAATAAAAAAGAGTAATACTTCACTTACAAATAAATTTTACAAAGATCTCCGTACAAAGTAATGTGGTAAAAAATAAATGAAATAGTGAATTTAATGAGTTTGATTTTTTATTTTACTTTTACATTCATTTTTTGTTATCTCATTTTGTATGTAAATTTTTATAAGATTTTTTTTGCAACAACGGTATTACTAAATTAAAAAAAGGCTCAGGAATCCAAAAGAAACTCTGAAAAAGCTTGTTTAAAATTACTTCGATCCATCAGTGCTCCAAAGTGAAAATTCTGTTCAAGTACTGACTACTACTTTACAGGTACAACAATTGGATTCAAACTTGATTTCTGACAAACAACTGGCAACATTTAATTACAGAAACATCAAATTAATTAAGTTGTACAACAAGATAGATAATGGAAAATACATAACACAATTAAAACATAATTTAGTTAAGAACGATTGATGATGGATTAATTGGCTTATTATTACTTTATAACATTCGATGACTGCCCAGATATCATTAGCAGCACAAACAACCTGAAAGTTTGATAATCCGGCTTTCTTGAAGAGGGTCTCGAATTCTTTTGGTGTCCTTTCTTTCCCTTCAAGTATTATTAATACAGCATTGTGAAGTCTCGAAACATGTATAGGACTTTCGCTTGTCTCGGGTATTTCAGGCAATATTGCGGTTATAATGATCAATTTTCCCTACATAGTAACACTTCATAACACCCAAGAGTTTATATCGTCCACCTGGCCACCCAGAGGTGGTTGCCTGAAAACATATCTCCTCCAACATGTTTAATTCCTACATAGAATTAACGACCTAGAGAATATAAAATAAAAAGATATGATATCCATTACGAATTATAAGATATACATCAATGTGATAATTTTCTAGTCAAAACATCTTAATATAATTTTGTCAGGACCATGCATGTATATTATTGGATCGGTGTAAAAAATTATTTCCGTCCAATGAGATAAAACCAACAATGTTTAAATATGGTCTTGATAAAAATTATATGAGTATGTCCTAACTAGCTAAAAAACTACTCTACATCAATATTATGGAACAATGTTATAATACCATAACAAGATGGTGCAGCACAAGGCAAATCAAAGTTAATGCCTTTAATGGAAGGGTACTTGGAGATGATCATACGGAGGCAAAACACAGTTCCTCCACCAACATCAACCAAAGATGAAAGTCCCCCGTATCCTTTGTATATTCCTAGAATTCCCTTCATGCATACATTGGAGATGAAATGTTGAAGTATATATTATCTGTGACTGGATGTTGGTGGACTCCTGTGCAGACGTATTGAATTTTTTAACATGCAAACTAAAAGTGAGAGCCGGGCTATCTTCACAGAATGCAAAATTTCCATAATTGGTCGCTCACCGTTGGTCTGCACGTAAAAACTTTAGGACATACGCACAATACAAGGGTATTCATGTATTAAGTTCACTCATATGCTTTAATACGTAGGAGTGTTTATTTTATCTGTTGGACTATGAATTTGGCCTAATGTTTGGTGCAATTGTCTAATGTTTGACCCATATATGGCAAGTCCACAATACGACGCATTAAATTAGGTGACCTGGGCCAAGGGTCAACTTTAATGCACCTCAGAAGCATTGTAATGATTTATTTTCATTTTCCTACCCTAGTTTTACCACAATTATGGGTTGATACCCTAGAAAGTAGAACAACGATCAACTCTTAGCAATGGCTACAAATTTATTTCGTTATTTATTAGACGCTTTTTGGTGCCTGCAAATTTATTTGTCAAAGACAAAATCGTTGATATATATATGGTGCCACATACCCTTTTATCTAATGAGTTTCTGTTGAGGGAGATAAGGGTAAAGGTAATTAATACCATTGACCAAGGTTAAGCTAAATATTAATTTCCTATAAGCCAAACATTAATTTAGCCACGTGGTAGGATGACATGTGCTTTAATATTACTTAATAAATTAGAATTAATAATACTATGCATTACTACTTCCAATTCAGACATTATATATATTAACATGCATTGTGACAATGTTTGATAAAAAATTTGATCCGATTAATGTATTGAAAGATATGATTTTTATATTATCCTCTTATAAATAAAATGCATTGTGATAATCAAATTTTTTATTTGCTTATTATTAAGGCAACTCATTTTTCTTAATTACTTTGATTAAGGGTGAGTATATTCTGATTTGCTTAGAGTTTTGCCAATACCAAATGGAACCAAATATTCTTGGGTTTGAAAAGGTAAACCCAAACCAACTTATATTTATTAGAAACAATGTTTTAAAACCCGACCCAATCTGAGACCCGACAAATTGGTCAAGTCTCGAGTTGACCGGTTGAACCGGTTTGATCGAGGGGTCAAATCGATGACATTAGTATGTCCAAAAGTTTAAAATTTAACAAACACACTCTTAGAAAACTCTACCAATCCCTACAAGTTTGAAATCCAACAAAAATACCTTAAATGCAAATCGACAGATGACTAGTTGACAGCAACGATACACCAAATGCAAATTTTACTCATCTTTTGAGCCATTTCCCAACAAATATGCCCAAGATCTGCTCTAAATCAAACCATTTTGTGACAAAAAACACCATCGCCGATGTCGACAACCTAAGCCAAATCAGGCATGTTTCCGGTGTCGACAACACTCCCTATCATCGTGAAAACACTCCCCTCAACCTCCTTACCAAAACCCATCTCACCCTCCCCTTGTTGGCCCCACCAATCGCCAACAACAGCTCGCTGTTTTGGTGCGTGACTTTTGCCTTTTCTGGTCGTTTCACTAACCGGGAATCACCTCCGTCGCCACCTTTCAACTCATCAACACTTCCTCTCCAAAACCCCTCCACCAATTGTGTGCCGATCACCGTCAGTAAATCTAGGATTTGCTTTTGCGGTTGTGAATAGTGGAAATTGTGGGAACCTACCCTGGCCAAGGCCCCAAGTCCTGGTTAGACTGGTTAAATTGGCGAGTTGGGTTTTAAAACGAATAAAACGAATTTAAATCGGATTGGTTTTGTTCAAATTACTTGGTTTAAGTTTATATAAAATCTTTTTTTTTTTTCTTTATCAAATTTATATTACAAATCATTAAGTATTTTATTTTTCAATACAATTGACTTTAGGTTACAATTAAAAGTTGATCGAATTTTGATCATAAATTCTAATGAAGTAATTTGTCTTCAACAACTACATAATAAGCACATTTAATAGACTTATTTATGATAAATTCATTTGAAATATTATTGTCATATTACGGCTCAATCTTTGTTTAGGATTAAAGAGTAAACCCAAGCAAATCCATTTAAATTTTTATTCAGTTCAATTTGGTTTCGGTTAGATGTTAGTTGTACGAACTTTTGGAAGGTGTTGGATAAATCAACCTCTAAATGATCGAATGATTCGATAGAGATTCTTCGATGTATTATTCAAAAGGTCTGAAGTTCAAATCTTTCATCGATTACTGATAAAGATAACTAATAAAGTTCTTACTCGAACTATAGTTTCAAGATCTCATTGATAAATCAAAAGCAAACTTCCATTACTTCAATCACGACAGAGTAACAAACCAAACCAGCCAGCAAAATTTACAAGAACATAAACTCCATTAATGGATTGCAACCTCTTTCACATCTTTCTTGGGTTTTTCAGTCCTGGGAATGGTGATATTGAGCACACCATCCTTCAACTCCGCTTTGATATCATCAACCTTTGCATCATCAGGCAACAAAAGGCTTGTGTTATAGTAGCCATAACTCTTGGCTGACCAGAACTCGTCGTCCGAACCTTCTTCTTCCTCCTCCTTGTGCTCTCCCTTTATCGTTAAAACTCCATCATATATGGTGATCTTCACATCATCTTTTCCCAGCCCTGGCATGTCGTACCGCAGCTTGTAGCATTCATCCTGTTCTTTAACTCTGCCCATCAGCTGCGAAGGCGATATGTTCAGGTTTTCGAATAGCCTGTTGATGTTTTCTGTAGCCTGCAAGAGTGCGTTTCCCAGCCCTGAGGGAAAGAATTCTGGGGAAAGAAAAGAAAATGAGTTAGTACAAAACCCTTTTCATACAAAACCCTTTTCAATGGATCTACAAATTCGTTTCTTTGTAAATCTTGTGAAAAGAGATAGATTACCATAAAGAGAAGGAATGTCATTTTGCCTCCACAGACTCTTCCTGTTTCTTCTCCTTGGAAAGAGCCTGGACTTCTTTTTCTTTTCAGTCACTTGGATTTCTTTCCCTTCACTTTTCTCACCAGTAGCAGAAGTTGCCATAAACCTCTTCAACAATTCATTACTCCATCTTTGCCTTCCAACAACACCACCATTATTATTATGACTCACCAAAGAAGACGAGGATGATGACACCCTTTGCTGCAAATTCCTCAAAGCGAAACGAGCCAATGACATTTGTGATCAACTTCCAAGTTCAGATTGTTTGTTTTTTTTTTTTTTTTTGGTTTGTTTGTCTTGTTGGTGAAAGTGAAACGAGGCGAAGAGTTCTTAAAAGGGCGAGAAGTGAGTCGGGCAGTTGGAGGTTTTTTAGAGAAGTAAAGAAGTCTCTGAGAAGTTCTGGGATGTTTTTACACATCATCATGGAGATGGTTCTCGGTCTTTCTCAAACATTCAAAATACTTTAACTAATGAGAAGAGTGCTCCAGAGGGAAATGAATCTGATGCCACGTCCAACACTTTCTGTCAATTCATCCCTTTCATACATCCAATAAAATTTAACTGAGGGAAATGACTAGTTTAGTTGGTACGTTGACATTTAACTGAGATTCTAGAAGGGCTTTGCTTAGATTTACGGCCAAATAAAATATGTAATTACATCTAGTTTCGGCAATATCTTGTGAAAATCCTAAACATGATTAAATATGAGGATGAACCTAACAAATATGGCTGATTAATGAAGTAGCATGAGATTGATTTTGTAATTTGGCATAAATTGGTCAAGTATACTGAAATTTTGAATGACAAGACACATCAGGAACAATGAAATCATCCATTCAAATAAAGTTCCTAAAAAAAATGAAAATCTATTAATTGCCTCAGGAACTCAAAAGGTTGAAAACAACCAAACATGCCCAGTTCTCGATCTTCCAAGTCAGTCCTGGCATGAAGAGCCCAAGGTTCTGCAATTTTAGCAATGCTTTCGCTCAGCATTTGTTTTAAATGCCGTACTTTTATTTAGCATCATGTTGACATTTACCACTCAGCTGTTAAGGGCTATGAATCATTTAGGAACAACATAACTTAAGGGAAAACTTGTTGCTCAAAAACAGACCAATGTTGTATTAGTTCCAATTTCCAACACATAACAAGATCATGTCCGAAAAGGCCTTTAAATTGAAACAAAAATCCACCAGAGGGCGTATGACCAATCATGTTACAATTGATAATAGATATATATTCCATGGCTCTGCTTCACTGTTTTTTCACTATGACAGCAAATCAAATGTTACAGCTGAGATGGGTTTCAATTTTTGACCAACCTTCAAATATGATATATCTTGTACTTTCTGTGCCTTAGTCGTACATGCCCTCCTGGTCCCAAACATCGACAAGAAAATCTACCATTTCCTGCCAATATTGAGATCAAGTAGAGATAAGCTAAGCATGTTATATAGAAAATACAAACTAGTAGAGGGGCAGAGACTCTTTACTGAGAGGGGAATAGGCTGAGGGAACGGCTTATTGCTCCCAAGTAAACTATCATATGTCGCGTTCCAACTGCAAAGCCAGAAGTTTTTAACCATGCTGAGACAATGAGTGCTGAGAAGTAAAAGAAAACAATTTATGAATGATTACTGTCTACCTTAGTGAGGATAAGTACATAATCCAGAGATGGTTTCGTATTACATACATGTGCCACCTACTTGACTACTTGAGACTCTTCAATTATACATAAAGGTTACAATATATGCTAACAAGTATAAATCCAATTCCAACATAATAGATGCTTGATACACTACTAAACACATAATCACACCTACCAAACTAGGATCAGTCATGGCAAGGAGGTGTAAACTAGTCTTTCCTATTATTAATTGAGTTTTCACAAGACTTATGAACATAAAAACCATGAAATTGCAATGGTATTTAGGAAAATTATGGTAAGTGTAGGATAGACATGAATTGAAAACTACCAGTATAGTGTCTAATATGTTTTTAGACACGAGTCAATATGTTAGTCTCTCCACTAGATCCGTTAAATTGAGAAAGAGGAGGTAGATATAGTTATAACGGCAAATGTGCAGCATAGACATCAAGTGAAATTTAGAGACACCTAAAGGTCCTAAACAGCATAAAATCTATTCTCTTAAAGGTTTACACAAGTCAGTACACTAGTCTCTCCACCGGAGAGATACCTGTTCTAATGGTACATCTCCTATTCCCTCAGGACAAGGGTCAACCAAAACAAAAATTGAAATCAATGGTCTTAATTCATAATAACAAAGTCAACTCTCTGGCAAACTCATTGCTAAGCCCTTTGTAGCTGTCTTAATTTCATGACCTACCAAACCACATAGACTCCCTAGAATCTCCAACCTGACAAATTGGAATAACACTGAATACTTGCTCCCATGTGATAATAAATATCCTACTTAATTGAAATTGTGAAATTGGTTTTTTGGCTGCCATGACCATTGTCAAACAAACAAGTAGGCACGAAAAGTATTGCATGCAGATATTATAGTCGACGCCCTGATTAATTGACTAATTTAGAATATTCAAGCAACTCACTTTAATTTGGATTCCCGCACTTGCTGTGCTCTGTTCTCAGATCTTTTATTTCCTACCCAACATTGCCGAGTTTGATTCCAGAGAAGAAGACCTGCAACCAAGAGGTCACATAAGATAGGACAAAGGCAGCTTGATCTGGTTCAGTGTAAAATAGGGCTCCAAATGGTGAGACATTGCAAAAGTGCCAATGCACACAACCCCATCAAAGTTACGAACATGCAAACACGATTAAGTCACTACACATCCAAGCAATCACAACTTTTTTTTCTTTTCAATAAGAGCAATGAGAACTTGCCATGGTTTACAAACTCAGAAGGTGCATTAGCGATGCCAGCACCACCATGTGCATCAAGGACCTGGTTGTTTATGCTAATTGACGAGATGCTTCCCTGTGACATAAATGCACTATTGTCCATATCACAAGTGCTGGTGGTCCAAAAATCTTCTGATAAGCTAGGCTTCCTTGCTGAGTGACTTTTGACTCTGACTTCCTTCAATGTCTTACTTTCAGAGGTATTCAGTTCGGGCTTAGTATAGCATCCAAGACAACCACTGCTCTGTTTCAAATGAGATAAAGTCATAAAACAATAAAATACCAATTACCACAAGCTCAAACAACAAAATCCCATACCTAATTACTTCATATAGAAAGTATATTCTCAATTATTTCCCTTCTAATGCCCAAAAAGGCACCAGGATATCAGTTTACTTGTATGTCAAAATTATTATCATCTATAACTCACTTGAAATACTGCATATCTGCTTAACTAGGCCTAAAGCCCGAGAAACCACCCAAGGCAATGTTTATGCCAAAACTTGGATAAACAACAGTTCAAAGCCACCTAAAAACTATCAACTGGCATGTCTAACTTGACCCTAATGCAGGTGGAGATGATTAGACAATCCCTTAAAAACACCCTCAACTAAGGTAATAGGCACCAGGTAATCTCATAGAAGTGTTGTTTGTCTACCTTGGTGCTCGAACACTCTTTTACTGTGGTACAACTAGATTAACCAAATAAACTCTCCCACAAAAAAATTCTGATGGTTGGGACAATCTATTAAAAATAATCCTCGAATATATACTTCAAAATGTCAGGTAAACAAAACATAACAAATCATCTGTCCCTCAAATAGGACCATAAAACCCCAATGGTAACACCTACGTCTAATACCCCAATGGTAACACCTATCAGATGAGTTTATATATGCCATTAATATTCCTCAACTTTTGTCAATCAAAAGTTACAGCAAAAGCTATTCCAAAACCAACAAGAAGTATGATGCTTAATCAGTTTACCATATCCAGACTCCAGTACATGCCAATTAGCTCCAAGAATGCTAATAACAATTCCTACATGCTAAAAACTAAATTAATTAAACCACATAATAAAACCCCAAAAGGATTGTAATTGTGAATCAGTTTTTACCAAACATATATCTGGTTAAATACAACTCTTCATAAAACACCTTTGAAACACAAAACAGATTGAACTAGAGCTCTACACATTTACTAAGACACCTAAGCTGATTGTTTCAATCTCTAAGAAGAAATATGAATCTCCAATCTCTCAATTTTTATTTTCATAACTTTTAAGAAACCAAGCACAACCCAAAACTCAAAATCAAAAATCTCTTTTTCCTCATTTTCTAGGCTGCCAAAAATAACCCACCCACCCAGAACATTTTAACCCACCAACAAATCAAGCAAAACAGACTCCATCTCACAGAGACAACAAAAAAACCCACAAAACTCAAAATCCATCAAAAAAAAAAAAAATATCCCCTAACAATTCCAAACCCATAAATAGAATCAGAAAAACTTACCCCATGCATGCAATAGAAGAAAAACCCACAAGCCAAAAGCTCCAAATAGATCTGCAAATAAACACTTTTTCTCTAAAATGAAAGTTGAATAAGAATCCAATTCCGGGAAATAAAGATCAGAGAGAACTGCCAAACACAAATAGAATCTCATAAAATAAACATCATCAAAACAATAGAAATATATAAAATATAACCTCCCAACTTCCAAAGTAAAGATTAAATTTTTACCCTTTCTCTTAATCTCTCTGTATCTTTTTTCCCTGAAATCTCTTCTTCTTGTTGTTGGCAATTATGGCTTATGGGAAGACTTTAAAGTTGTTCTGTATTGAAAATGTTTTAAACTTACAGTGAATTTCAGTCCGTCTCTTCTTGCCTGTTTAACCCCCTTTTTTTTATTTTTTTTTAATATTAATTAATTATTTAGTATATTAATAAAGTATATACATAATAAGCTTTTTTTTTTTTTTAATTGTTTTATGTAAAGGGTTTTATTCTTCGCAAGGCTTAAGTAAGAAAACATATTAAACAAGTAATAAGTTAAAAAAATTATTTATTTTTGGTAGGAACCAATTAACAATAATTTGCTCACACATACACCATAAACTACTTCTAGATAATTTGGCATTTTTATGAAATTCTTAAGTATATTACTCAAGAGGTCATGGGTTCGATTCGTTACGACTACTAATATAATAAGGGATATTGCATTAGAGACTTACCTACCGTTTTTTAGGACCCTGAAAAATTTGTTGAGGTGCACGTAAGTTGACTCGAATACCCCTAAATACCAAAAAAATAAATAAAGATATCATACTAAAAATATACAATTTAGGAAATCAGTTCTTTAAACCATTTATGAACAAATATCCACTGATTTTTCATTCAATTATATATTATATATATTATATATATATATATTATATATATATTATATAATATAGTTATTTTTTGTTTAATTTGATTGATATCTTACTCTCCGTTAGCCAATATTATTCGTATTTATAGCTGGATATATAAGTTCAAGTTGGAATATGATTAATGAGTTTTATATTCCCTCTTACTCATAAATATTTTATTAAATAATATTTTATTTCCAAGTGATGAAAAGCATATTTTATAGTTCTCACTCTTATTTGTTTCACACTGGTTGACTTAAAAGTTGTGGAATATTTCACTAAGTGCTTCTTTAAAAGCACTGAAGTAATTTTATAAATTCTAAGGGTTGATCTACTAAAAAGTTTATTTTTATTGACTTTTTAGATTTAACCTTGGGACCATCTACTATATTTGTGACATATATTGGAATATTGAGTTTGTAAGGTATTCAATAGACTTTGAAGATTAGTAAAATATTAAAACTGGTCAAAACACCTGATTATCAAAAATTAGTTTGAACCTTGAAGTCATCTTCACATTTATGACATATATTAGAATATTAGGTTTGTAGAATATTCAATGACCCGAAAATTAGTCAAAGTGCGCACAAGTATATCCAAACACCTATCATAAAAAATAAATAAATAATTAAAAAATATATATTTTATACTTGAATAACGTCCTAATGCTTAATTTAATTTTGATCTGTTATGATTTTTGAAAATTATTAAATACTTTTAAAAATATAAAAAAAAAAACCCTTCAAATAAAAGTATTTATAATTTTCGAAAATCATTCAAACGAAGGCTATAAATAAAAGTCTTTTCTTAAAAATTAGAAAAAATATATGTATTTTAAATGATTGTGAAATAATAATAAAAAAAAAAAAAAAGTGATGTAAACGTTGGTGATGGTTTAGACGAAGTAGAATAAGATACTCAAAATGGAGGGTCCCAAATCCCAATCATGCTAGTGACAATTCGGGAATATTGCATAAACTTGGGGATGGCTCTGTCAAAGTGCTGTCGTTTTGCTAATGACATTCTAGTTTTTTTTTGTTCAACTACATCTTGAAAATATCTTGTTTTGTTTATTCATCTAATCTTACAACTTTTCTTCTCTGGTTATTTCTAACTTTACCTACAGCGTCATTTGGTCAAGGCCAATGACCTCAAAAATAAATTTAGATTTTTTTCTTATTATGATTCATAAACTATATTTTAGTATCAATTTTACCAGTTCAATACAACTTAATATAAGATTTATATGTAGGAGTATTTAAAAAAGAAAGAGAAAATATGGGCAAAAAGATTTTTCAAAAATTATATTAGGATCCCACATCAGGATTCACACTTCTACTATGTATTTAAGCTAAGGCTAACCCCCTATTAGACCAGTCTTTCTTGGGTTTAATTTTAACAGTAATTTTTTTCGTTGAAGTTGAGTTGTAAAGGTTGAGAGGTTCCGGTCTTTTAAGTTGTTTTTCGTCTTTTTACCTTATTTCAAAATGATAAAACTTAATAAAAACTTATGATAAATTACATTTTAAGATTTTTGTTTTTTAAATTACCAAACCATATAAAAAAAACAAAAACAAAACACTTTTAAAGAATTCATATACATCACAAATTAACTCTATAGAGAGGCAAAGTGAAGACAAATTTCCTTGAATTAAAGTGATTAAAGAAGGAAAGCTTATTTTAAATAGCTTTAAATGATGGGCGACCAAAATAACAAGTGGCAGCATATGGGCACCAACCACTACAATTTAGATTTTAATTAATAAGTGGATAAAGATTAGTCAACATGGTTTTATATATACACTTAAAAAGTTTAACTCTAATATTTACACTTGATTGAAAAATAAAAAAAAAAATACTAGGGTGATTTTACTATATCATATATCTTTAACTCTAAAGGGTAGTCTGATAGTAAAAAAGTTTGCTTTTTATTAGTTCTTAAGTTCAAACCTTAAATCATTTATCACATTATGAACTTACTTAATCTCTAAGTTTGTAAAATGTTCAATAAACCTACTAAAATTACGAGCATCGTAGTTATATGTTAACTTTTTTATGTTAAGGAAAAAATTCAGTTCAATAGATTTCATTTTCATCTTTAGTATGGAGAGGTTCAATAATTTAACACTTGTCCACAATATTAGGTTTTGTTGGCCTGTGGTTGCATGGCGTCCCAGCTGTTCTTCATTTCCTTAAACCGAAAACCCTCAATCCATTAATATCTCTCTTACCTTAACCACAAATCCAAATTCATGAAACTAAAAAACTTAGATTTTTCAGACAAAGTTTAAGGTTTGAAAACTAGTTCTAGTGACCAAGTGTATTACTAATAGGGGTAGTTGCCTGTTTTCGACCAGGTTTCCAATTTCAAAGTCGGACTTACAAAACAGGTATTTTCTTAATTATGAAATAGATAAATAAATAAATAAATAAAAGAGAAATTTGATAATAAAAGGCGAAGGTAGTTGTTTGGTCAAATTTGTTAGGCGGCTTCATGGATTACTTCTCCCATACAACTCTGACTCCATTATTGAATCGTCTCTGGTTCAACCATGGCCATCCCACGACCAACTTGCTTATAATTTTAAAAGATTCAATGTGGTCCATTCATTATTTCTTTGTTTTCTTCTCATTCTACACATCATTCATGAATCATGATGTAATTCTTTCAACTATTTCTGTGTTCCATTTGTTCACCCATGTCTATCAACCCCACAAATTTTTATTTACTGTAAAATAAAAAAAAAAAAATCTGGTAAAATAAAATGAAAAGGGTTGAGATTAAATCTGCAGAAGATTGGAAAAGGAAAAAAAAAGTCTCTTTTACAGAGAAAATTGGAAGCAACTGTGTCCAAATTTATAGGATTCTTCTGAATTGACTAAAACCTTCGAGGATGTCAATTTGGTTAAATTTTTAATCTAAGATTGGATTATGCTGCCGAAGTGACTGGATTTTTCTGTACTCAATAAATTATTTTTCTGTACAGAGAGGACCGGAAACTAACTTGAATATTCAACAAGAAATGTTCAGATTTTGTCCAATTTTCTAGATTAAAAAAGGGTTAATCGGGCAAAGCTCCTAATATTTCTTTACAAATTTACATGGTTTCTGACTGAGAAAATAAAAGAAGAAAATTAAATTATAGGGATCAACAAGAGCATTGCGTTCTGTGAACTCTGTCCCTGAGAATTCCATTGTACAAAGCAACTCTATTTGCTGGCATTCCTGGAATTTCATTCCTGCAATTTCTATCTACTTTGTTCATAAAATTCTTGCTGCGTTCTTTCCTGTACTCCTTTCCATTACCACTCGTCTCCTTCACATTCTCCGCAAAATGCACTCTTTTCTTCTTCTTTTGCCTCTTCTTCTCCTCTAAACGCAACCAAACCAAAAACCAAATTAAACCTCAGTTCGTTCTACTTATCAAGAAATTGATGAAGTTTATTTACAACTCTTTATTATAATATTTACCTGAATACAAGCAAGACCGTAGAGTTTGGCATGGAGAATCATCTTGATTCTCCGTAGATGAAGCTTTTTGCTTTCCAAAAGCAAGAAAGAGAACGGTGCTGGAGACAACCATGGCTGTGGCTAAAACTACTGCTTGCGAGTTCATGATTATTGTGCTAGTTTACAGCTTTCTTGTTCCTAAACACGAACCATAAAACATCTGCCTACCCAAATTCAGCTGCGTCAAACAGAAAAAGTAATTTTTGAGAAGGGTTTGAAATATTGGTGGGGGGGTTTGTGGAAGAATAAGCAATGGGGAGAAGTGTTAGATATATATATAGATGGAAGACAATGTGAAAAGAATGTATTTTTGCGTGGGAATCTGGAGTTGTGGTAAGGCTGTGTTTGGCTGTGGTTTGGGTTTTTGGGGGAGAAGTTCAGAGTGTGAACCACACGGCAAAGGCAGGGAGGGAGAAGGGCTTTTTGGAGAAGTCGGTAGTCAAAAGAGTTGTCGGGAGTGTCTAGAATATGGGAATGGTCAAGCCTCCCGAAGCGCTTCTTTTTAAGTATTATTTTTGGTATATTTTTTTACAAAATTTTTCTCCTCCATGTTTTAATTTATAATAGATTTTATTTAAATTCAATCTGATTAATTATGATTGATTAATTATAAATTGTTATATCAGAATTATAAAAAAATATTATAAGCGTAACATTACTCAACGTAAAATCTATAATCAATAATATAATACTTTATTAGTATAAGTTGCCTTTTTTATTATTTTAAACCCCCCGCCCACAAAAAAAAAAAAAATCATCATCATTAAAAAGAGTTTTAACTATATATATAAATCTTTAAAGCAATTAAAAAAAAAAAAACTATTTCAGTACGATATCTAATTTTAAAAATTATTATTAAAAATCATCATTAATTATTATAAATCAACGGTCATGAATTTGTGCAATTTTACTCTTTTTTAAACAAAGTTTTCCTCAAGAGTTAATTCAACAAAATCAGAATTACATCATACATATATTTATTAAAATTAGTTATAAATTAGAATTTAATTTAATTAAAACATCGTACTCATTTCTTTTTTTACTAGGAGTATCCGAGTAAACTTATGTGTACTTTAACTAATCTCTTAGGATTCTAAAACTATCTATCAGATAAAAGTGGTAGTACTACTCATATTATCAACCGAAAAAAGATTCGAACTTAGAATCTCTTGAGAATATATCAAAAAGCTTCTATCGAACTGTTCAACATCATATTGTACCGTATTCGTATAGTGAATAAATTAAATAAAAGCTAAACTAAAATTTACATAATTAATGGACCAAATATGCGACAAGATTTTATACGGTTCTCTTCTGATCTCAAAATTCAATAATGGAAAAAGGCGGATTGGTGAATGGTGAATAAAAGAAATGGGCCATTTTAGAATGCTAAAAAAATTAAACAGAGCGGATAAAAACCTTATCATCAAAATCATCCTTTTCCACGTGGATGCAGATTAGGTCAGGAACAGGAAGGCCCACGGGTTGGAAATGACCCTTTACCACGTCTCCAAGTAATCATATAGAATCAGGCGTACGTGATTTGACACCTTCAACACGTGTCCTCCAAATAACAATACCTTCCCAACTGAAACTCTTGAGTAAGTTCGCCCGTGACTTGCAGTGGAATGTCATCTAGATTTTTTTTTGGTTGAAGTGGAGCCTTGTAGCTTTCTGTTATTGGACTTAAAAAAAAGAAAAAAGAGAATAATTCATTTGTAATCCAATTTCACACATTTTCTTCCATAATTTCGGCTTAATAATTTATAATTGGTCAGTTTATAATAGATATCATTTATTCAATAACAGCTCTTATCTATTTAATTACGAGTTACCTAATTACGAACTATCACGTTAAAGATTGTGAGTCAATCTTTATTGAAAAATGAATTATCTATAATATTAGTTTTATCACTAATTATTTAATTAGTTATTAATGACAATGAAAACAGTTTGTATTAACATGAGTTCCTTCTCAGTTGTTAATATGGGCAATCACTCGAGTTCTTACTCGATCAATAGTTTTAAAGTCTCAGATGATTAGTTGAGGTAAATGTAAATTGGTCTGAAGACTCCCAGTCATTAAAAATAATTAAATTTATATTAACATTAGACATTAGGAGCCACAAATAGTAGTTGATTTTAATCTTTAAAAAATTAGAATTTTTTTTTTATAATTATTTATATTTTAAGAAATTAAATCTGAAAAATATTTAAATCAAATATATTTTGAAATCTTTAATCTCTTACTTGTTATCTTAATTGCAAATCGAAAATTTTTTAATTTATGGACTTATCTATAGAAGTAAGTGTTTAAAGGAAGTATGTTATGAATTTGAAAGACGTGAATATAGTATTTGTATAAAATTTAGAAGAAAGTGAAGATTTATGAAATAAGATCCATGTGGTGAGTTGAAGAAAGCAAATTAAAATTGGCATGCTAAATGAGGGAAATAGAAAGAAAGAAAGAATTCCAAACCATCAATCAACAATGTCATTGTCGAATGCCAAGAACATATAACTCTTAAGAAGATGGGAAACATGTAGAGTCGTCGAGGTTTGAAAATGTTTGCAGATTGAGTTTTAGAACCATGGCGAAATTCAATTTGCGATTGTTGTTATTTTCCTTTTTCACAAGAACCCAACTTCTTTTTTAATCCTCTTCACTTAAACATTTAATATTAATCTAGAGGTGTAAATAAGCCGAGCCGAGTTGAGCTTCGACTGTTCGTATCAAAGTACAAAAGTTTTTTAAAAAAAAAAATATGCAGTAAGTGGTAGCCATGGCCGTCGTAATGCTTGACGGTAAATGATGATCGGCTTGGAAGAGAAAGACGGTGGAATCTGGTTGTTGAGAGGTTGATTCATTGTCTAACACCAAGCCATGCGGCTTAGGCCAATATCCGGCCTAGCCATGCGTGGCTCAAGTGAGATCTAGCCTTGCCATGCGCGGCTTAGGCCAGATATGGCATGGCCAGTTTATGGCTACTCCATACCCATCTCAAAGATCAATCGCTGGCTAAAATTTGAATTTTTCTTTTGCTATTGAATTGCTTTTAAAGAGAGTTTACATTGTTTTCATTGATTTGGAATTATGATTTATGGGTGTCTCTGTCATTTTTACAACCTTCTAAGTTCATATACCCCTAATAAATATAAAACTAACATTTTGGACCCTTTCAAGCTCGCTGCAGCTCGCAAGCCAAGCTTTGGCTGTTCGAACTCGGCTTGTCTGTTAAGCCGAGCCGCTCGAGCTTTTCCCGAGTCAAGTCAAGCTGCTCAACACCCCTAAATACCACAAGAAGTTAAAATTTCATTTCCTCTACCAGAACGGTGACATAGCTACCTCATAATGACAACTTAAGTGCTTGAAATGGTGGCATTGAAGATTCTGGAAGTTGACCGCAGAGTTGGTGAAATGGTTTGGCCATGTATATAAATGTAATTTTTAGCCCTAAAGAAAATTGTTACGATAGAATTGTGTGCGGTAAATGAATGAGAATTGTGGTGCAAGAAACCTTTTCTTGAGTGTCATAGTGAAATATTCTTCATACCATACCATAGGATGTAGTCCAATTGGGTGAACTATCGTCTTATCTTGTGTTTGATTAAATTTCGCTCTTAGAATTTTCGCTTATTTGTGGTTGATTGTTTGTCAAGACATCAATTTTATAACAAGAACATCGTAATTGTTTAACCTTTGAATCTTCATCTTCATCTGGAGCACAAAAGGGTACTGTTATTTACCAGTTAGTAACAAGAAATTCTAGGGTGATTCAATGTTAGATTGATCATAGATTTGTTATTTAAACCAGACCAACAAATAGTATGATAATAATCAACAGCAAAATCTAGGACCATGTAACACATAAATGAATAAAATCAAAACAGCTTACAAATTTATAGCAGTCAATAACAAAACCACACACTTCCACGTCTCCACAAATCCTGATATCAACACCCGGCAGAAATATAATACCGTACCTCACAGGTTCTGATACATGTTTTATTGCTATGCTACTAAAAACAGCAGTTTAAAACTAGCGGCAAGTGAAAAATTATTTTTAGTAACAAGTAGAGAATGCCATTTAAGTAGTAAGGATTGGAGGAAGATATTCAGATTTCTCACCAAGAATACGAGCTTTAGTGTCTGGAAAGTGCTCAGTTCCTGGCAGCTCAGTGACCTCCCCTTCATTGTCAACAGCGATCGGGTAGCGGAGTAAGTGACCTGGTAGGTCATGCTCCAGTGACTCACTGGCGTACAGGTCCCAATATTTCTCAGCAATCTGGTTCACCTGTGAGATACATTCAAGGCTTTCCGGCTGGAGGAAGGAGTCATCAAGCATACCAAGATGCTCATACCACAGTGACATACGGAAACCATGGATCTGGCCACGTGCAGGCACCCTTGATGACAATTGATATGGTTGGTACGCTCCCATGGCTATCTCAGAGTCCCTAGCACCATCCATTGATCGCTGGTTGATATTGGCAGATCCAATAATAATGTACTCATCATCAACTGCAAATGAAAGAGTTAATCCATTTGTCAGTCACCAAAATATTAGCAACAGAGAGATGTCTCTGTGTTAAACAGAATTTATATCACTCACCAGTTAGCTTAAAACTAATTCAAATAAATGACTTACCAATCATCATCTTGGCATGAACATAGATCATGAAGCGGCGGGCTTCCTGGGCTCTAAGGTAATCTGTATCAGGCTCTGGCTTTTCTGAAGATTCATATTCTCCGCTCTTCTTCACCTCACGGTTTCCAAGGCAGAAGAATGTCAAATAGGTCCTGGGATCCTCCTCAAGGCCCTTAGCTCTGAGAGCCAGAGCAATATCTTTATACATCATCTCCATCGTCCTTCTCTGCCAATCTAATATTGCAAGAACTGAGGCAGACTCTGGAAGCCCCTCTGGCCACATTGGGACAACAACATAAACAGTGAATCTTTCCCCTGCCTCTATCTTACTAACAATCTTAAGAGAGAGCTCCTTTGGAATTAAATGCAAAGCATTGATATCCTCAGGCTTAATACCATCAGCACTCCAAGCAAATGAGCTTCCAAGGAAATACTGATTTTCAATATAAATGAAATTCTTTGCGCGTCGAATAGCATGGATATAAGCATCCTGAATGCTTCGGTCAATGATATTGTCCTTCCCACTGATAAGCCCAGCTCTGGCTGCATCTTCAGGTGTCTCAGGGAAGCCAAAAGCAGCTCCACCATCAATGGATCTAAATAACTGCACATTCCATGTCTCATGGTCATCTGGGAACATAACAGGAGATGGCGGAATTATGGTGTCTCCAAGCTCTCTAAGCTGAACAAGTACATCCTTCCCACCCTGCTTTTTCCATCTCTGCTCAAAATTAAATAACACATCCCAAGCAATAGGACCCTCAAGACGGGAGTGAATGTCATGCCAAGGTTCCCTTGGACCACCTTTTGTGATTGAAGCACCGGTAAAGTTTGGCTGATGGAAATCATTATGGTGTGCCGTGTCCAACGTCCTGAAAAGAGAATGGAAGGGGGTATCGTATCTCCCATCGCAAAGATCAATACCTCCAACAAAACTCACAATTCTTCTTCTTTCTGAATCTCCATTGGGCATCTCACTGTCCACCACCACAATCTTCTGGTGGTGAGTAAACATGGTAGAAATTTGTAAATCCTGAACAAAGCTACCACCATCATCAGGATTACGTGGGCATAGAACACAGTGCACATCACTACCACGGAAGTAAGCTTCAGTTTCTTCGTCATGAGTGGCCATCAGTCCATCCTTTTTAAGTAAACCAACAGAGGTTCTGTCATCCCAAACAAGCATACAGACCCTAACACCTTCACTTGCCTTCTTCTTAAGCAGATCACCAAGATGGATGTCTCCTCCAGGCTTTGGCCTCCTTGAGTCCCTCACCAAGCTGATTTCACAATATACAGACCATCCAGTGATGTAGATCAAATGTTTCGCATTGGTGATTGCATCAAAAATATCTTCCCAACATCTGTGTGGCTCATAAAACTTGCCTCCTGCAAGAGGAATTTTAGGTACAAAATTATCTGGGATATGAGCATCTTGGTACAGAGAAACCTTGCATCCTTTTCTCTGTGAGAAAAATGTAAATGGCACCCCAGGATACTTGGAACTTTTGATACCCCGAGACCAGTTAGGGTCTTCTGTTACATCAAAATAATGAAGCTTCACATGAATCTTTGACTCTATAGGGTTCTTCTCTTCATCCAAGATCTCAACCCATCTATCAACTTCTTGGCCACCTAAGAGTTCTTCAACAGGTATGTACGCCCTACCGATCAAAGTTGCTCCAATAGGATTATCATCTTTCACAGTGAATATGACATTTGAAGCCATATGAGCACAGTAAATGTGAAAAGACTCATACCACCTGGGGTTGGAAGCCTCATTAAATAAAATTCTGGTCCTTCCAACCCTAGCCTTTTCTAGATCGATAGTTGCATAGATTCTACTTTCTCCTCTGCCAATACCAATTAGCTGTAAGAAGAAATTATCCATGAGAAACAGAAGGTAAGCAAATGACCATATCTTTTGATAATGAAAAAAGATTGCATCATAAAGCACCATTGGTCCATTGCTAGCAATTTAAAAGAATTAACTAAGAGAGAAGCTGACAAAATATCAGATATATGGAACCAAATACCAATTGGCAGATCACATAACACGAGTCAACAAGAAAAAAATCGAATGAATCTACAAGCTAAAAAAAATACTGAAATGGAAAATTCCCCCGAACAATATGCAAAAATTGTCATGATACTTAAAAAAGGTGGAATGTAGTAAGTGTTACAAAAGTAAATGAACAAATAATACAGATGAAAATATTTGACGGCAATTCAAATAGTAGAAAAAATATCACTAACTTCTGTCATACAGATAGATCAAAGGGCATGACTATAAGATAAGTCAGTAAAGAAAGCAATAAATTGGAGAGAGACAAAAAAAACTGAGCAAATAAAATTTCATAAAGACTAATCTGTCAAATGCTATTCTAATATCAACCAAAATATTGTTACAATATAGCGTCCATTCAGAATTGTTTACAAACATGCTTTCTGTTCAACAAATAAAAAAACAGATACAAAGAAACACATTGGTTATTGTAGTTGAAAACACATCTCAAAGGTACAAAAATTCCTTCTCCAAGTACTATTCTTAAATTCAGAAACCACTTGAGATATTTTCTATGCTATTGAAAACAGTTTGGGATAACACATAAATCATTTCTTTTACTTCTCTAAAATACTAGGACCACGCTTTTAATGTGTTTTGTACTCATAACTTATTTCTCAATTATATTAAAAGATACATTCTCAGATATTGAATAAACAAAATTCAGATTCCAATTTTTATTAATAGAAAAAAGTTGTTTCTAAAACTTGACTGAACAAAGCCTTCAGTTTCACACCGAGGAAATTGGGGATATGTAGAATTTAGGCAACAGAACCATAATAAAAAGAGATCCACTGTCATTTTTAAAACAAGGTTGAAAAAAGGTTATTTGGGATGAAAAGACTAATGAGAACAAAATCATTTACCATTAAATTGAGTAAACACAACAATATAACTCATAGTCAAGGTAATTCATCACACAAATCCAATAAATAAAATAACTTTCTAAAGCCCAAAAAAAAAAAAAAAAAAAAAAAATTAAACTGAAATTACTTGGCATCCTGTGGCAACATAGAATAAATCAAGAAAACAGGGGAAAATAGTTATTTATTAGGATTGGATATTGAAATATGCATCAATCATCAACAGTCAAGTATGTAAACACAATATACAAACTGTGACAACTAAAACTACAAGTCTACAAATTTATTTCACATTCACGTACAAATTTTTTAACAGTTACAAAATTTAGATCACTTGATAGTATATCATCACTATTCAAACTGCATTTAGTAAGACACAAACTTAATTTTTAAAATCGATCACCACACAACAACACAACTTCATCAATCACTGATATTATTTACAGAATCTTAGGGAAAAAAAAAGTTAGCACCACAAAGCAAAACAGGATCGAATCAACACTGCAATCAGCAGAAAGAATTCAATAAATCTTGATCCGTCACACAAATCTGAAAAGAAACTTGGGATCGTATGAATATTATACCTTACGGAAAAAGTGGCCTCCACTACTTTTTTTAGATGATCCACTTCATAGATCGTGACATGTAAAGTTCCATGGAGCAAAATATGCGCCATTTTTCACCTGTATCAATCACCAAAAAAAAAAAAGAAGAAGAATAAAGCACAGAATCCAGAATTCAAACACCCCCACATAGATCTACAATGTATAATATCAGACAAACTATGGAAACGCCTTCAACACTCAAAAAGGTTAAAAAGGACTCAAACCAACGAGAAAGTTGATCACAACATGAAATAAAAATACTGAATTCAAAATAGAGATTGTCGTATAAAATTATGAAATCAAAATTAGAGTGAGAAAGAGAGGAAGATTGATTTACACTGAGTAGGAGGTTGTGCAGAAGTGAAGCAGAAGAGGAAGAGGCAAAACAGAGTATGGGGACACTCAAATGAAGTGAAGAAGATCCGCGAATACAGATCTTAAAGCTCTCTCTCCGTGGAGGAAACGAAACGAGTATCGAAAAAGATTTATTTTTATTATTTATTATTATAAATAATTAGTACGTGTGTGCGATTCCTATGGCTCTTCATCTTTCTGGTTTTACAATGAAGCCCATTGATTTCTACTCGTTCTATCAACCATAAAAGGAAAGCAGAAAACTATACAATTTCGGTTTTGTTTGGTAAATTTACAGATAATAATAAATATTATTATGATTTGTTTAAATCTTTTGATGGACATGTAGAATCTTCACCTCCTTAGATGTTCATGTTAACCCCTTACAAGTTCACTAAACTCTTAAGAATCCATACCTTAGTTTTTAAAAAATTTAATTTTTAAAATCAAATTAATTATTAAAAAGATTAAGAAAGAGAATAAATTTATAGTTTTGCACAAAATTGTGAAAATCAAAGGCCAAATGATAACAATTGACCAAAAGGTTAGGAAGAAAATATTCATAAGAACAGCACATGGCGGAGGCATATTGTGGATCTCCAAGTATATACTAATAATAATAGTATATAGATTAATTAAAATAATCTTGATAGATTAACCATTAATTTGATATTACATATAGAGTTCCTTTAATTTAATGTAAAAACAGGAAAGATCAGCAAATTTTTCCGATTGGCTCAATAAAAAACAACAAATAAATAAAAAAATCACGCCACCCCCCACCTCAACAAAAAAACAAAAAAGCTGGTCCGTTTGGTTGCCAATTGGGAATACTACTTTTAGTATTCCAAAAAAGTAAACAGTAAAATACCCAAAAACCACAATATATTCAACTTTATTCAACATTTTAACCCCTAAATTTGTAATTCAATTAAATACCCCTAAATATTTTTAATGTTTTTGTTACAGCAAACTCGGCCACCCTCCGGCGGTAGTGGCCGGCTGCCGTATTTGACATTGGGTTGGGGGTGTTTTGTTAACTTTTAAGATTTTATTATAGGGGGTGTTTTGTAAAGAAACAAATATAGGGGGTATTTTATAATTTAAAATCCTACATCGTAATACCGCCCAATTCAACTTTTTTTTTACTTTTTTCAAAAAACTTTTCCCAAAAAACCCCAATGTGAACCAAACGGAGCCGCTACTTTTGAGTTTAGGGATGTCCATTTTTTTTCTACTTTAGTAACTTTCAAACAAATTTGTCATTTTCTCTTTGAAATTATTTCTTCCACGAGTGATTAAATTAGTATCATGGTAGCTTTTTTTTTTTTTTTTTTTTTCTTCTTCTGATAACCGGGACATCCAAACCAGTTTGCGTACACATTAAGTGATCCATAGGTTTATTGAACATCTTGGGTCCATTGAACACCCAATAAATTCAATAGGCCAAGTAAATTACAAATATGGTAGGTATCCATTATGTGAAACTCGAATACAAAACCTCTAGGTAACCCATACAAATGACTAAAGTATTGCTATTTGGCACAAGGCAAGTGTCAAACTCTACAATATTTGGGAAACATAAAATAGTTATCAATTTGATCATATAGGTGTTTTCTAAGAACAAACCATGTGTCATAGTATTTGATTATCCCTAAATGAGCTCTACCTTATAAAAACCTTAAAAGAGAATTATTTGATTTGGGTTTAATTGCTTGGATGAAGAAAAGGTTGGTATGAGGAAGATGATTAATAAAAAGTAATGTTAAGTCCATAACCCAATCTTATAATCCCCGACATGATAACTCGTCATTTGTCAACTCGAAAAATGGATTCTGCCTGTCCATTTGTGAACTAACCAATTCGAGGGTTGTGAGAGAAGGTTATGTATCTAGTATTATTTTTAAAAAAAATAGAAAGAAAAAAAATAGGTGAAACTTTGGGGTGTCAAATGAAAGATAATGAAATTATACCACCTAAAAAAATATTGGAAAGTAATCATGCCCCCAAGACTTGACGATATTTTGGTACAGTTGCGGGTGAGTAAGATTCTAACACGTGTTGAAGATCTCACCCTCTATAGTGCTATTATTTGTAGTGGGGTCCTGCTTTGGATTTCTTTAATCTTTCACATTCAACCACTGGTCAATATTTTATTTAATTTATTTTGCAAGGACAAAAGAAAGAATAATTAGTCCATTAGTAAATTCGCGTTTTATACGCGAATTATACGCCCAACCGCGTATAAAATACGAATTTTCGTATTCTATAAGCACAGTCGAATTATACGTGAATTATATGCCTTAGCCGTATAATTCACGTATAATTCCCGTATAATTCGATCATATTTTTAAAAATAAAATTTTATTATTTACTGAGTCAAAACGACGTCGTTTTAGGTGAAATTTGATCAAAACGACGTCGTTTTATGCTCAATCTTTTAAGCGCAATATCAGTCTCTTTTTGGCGCCTTTTCTTCCCTTTCTGCGCCCGCTTCCTTTCTCTTTCTTTCTTTTGGCCCCCTTTCTTTCTTTTGGCGCCCTCTTCTTTCTTCTTCCCTTTTTTTGTGCCCTCTTTCTCTTTTCTTCTCTTTTTTGGCGTCTCTACCTCTCTTCCTCTTCAACTATACTTCAACAAACACCACTGTTTGTCTTATCTTCTTCTTCTTCAACTTAAAAGACAAATAAAATTATTTATTTTATTTAATAATTAATCACTTTTATAATATTTATAATAATAAACTAAAATATTATAATTAAAAAAATATAAATCATACACCTATAAAGAAAGATAGAGAATAATTAATTCAATGATCATAAAAAATACTAAAATCAGGATTAATATTACCGTATTTTTCAAAACGTATTATTGACAATATACCGTATTAAACCCGTATATATCCGTACAATATTTTTCCCGTATCCGAATTTTAAGACCGAATTTTTATAAACGTATTTTTCACCGTTTACCGTATCATTCCCGTAAAATTTCCGTACCGTTTTTTTACCGTACCCGTATTTACTAACTATGTAATTAGTCACTCGATCTAATATAATAATAATAATAATAATAATAATAATATTTAAAGAATAATTAAGAATTATACCTTAGGGGGGTAAAAAATCCCCTAGATTTAATCAAAGTTTAATTATCACATCAGAACATGATTCATGCCTCAGGTAAAGCTAAATAAATTAACGGTTATCATAAGCTAGTCATAATAATCAGATTGACTTTTTTGATTAATAACCTACCGCGTGGACCATAAAGATGGGTCCACGTAGTAGAAAAACAGTGCCGACACCGTGTGGTGAATTAATGTCACGGTCACACGGTTGAGGTGAGAGAAACAGTCCAATCATGGCCCACAAAATGTGATTTTAAGTAGAGGATAAGGATGGCCCACTTTATAAAGCCTCAATCAATTAATTAACCAGTCCTCCGATCATGACGTGGCACGCTCCGTCGTTTATTCTGCAGCAGGTAGCGGCCTAGTGGGTTATAAACACGAGACACGTAGTGGGTTGGTTTTATAATTTTCGAAATCTTTGGTAACGACATGCACCTACCCATGGTTTGTTATAAAGACAAATTGAAACTTAAAAAGTTTAGAAATAACAAATACCTATTTTCTTTCAAGTTCTGTTAGTGAATTCCATCTGCCAAAGGATAGTGTGGTAATTGTAATTGCTTATTTAGTTGAGAAAAAAAAAGTGGACGTTTTCAAAACCATAAAACTTTTGGACCTTTTGGTTGCTAGTAGTAGGGAAATGGCTGAGAAATCTTACAATCACTCACCAACAAACCTAGACTCCAACAGTTGGTTGTTGTGTAGACTAGGAGCTGGATGCGGCAAAAGGTCGAACACGTGGTGGGTGACGATGAAGCAACAAGGTTGGAGCGATGGCGGAGCGGCCAACGACTAAAAAACATCACAGCAACAACACAAAACACTTATAAACAGCAACCCACCGATCAAACACAAAAAAACCAACAAAGCGCAAAAGAAAAGGTTGCAAAATGCGACTGTCTCACGGCGGCAGATATGGGTTACAGGCGGCAAACGACGAGTGGGGAGGGTTAATGGAGAGATGGATTTTGAAGAGGAGAGGATGGGGAGTCGAACGGTGGTGACAGGGGTGGTCAAACCGGCTGGGGATGGAGGAGGATGGTGATGGGAGGTGAGAACAACTGAAAAGGTAAAGGAAAATGGAAAGAAAGCCAGCAAAAATGCTGACGGTGGTGGCTTTGAAGAAGAAAGATAGACTGAAACAAACTGAGACTGAAAAAAGAAAAAACAACAAAAACCCAGAAATCCAGATTCCAAAAAATATCTGGAGTTTGAAAGAATAGAACCAAAGAGATCTTTAATGGCAAGAAAATATATGAACTTATAATGTAACATTCATAGTGTAGAAAGAATTGAGTTGACATTCAATTCAATCCCACTGATTGAGATTAGTTGTCATGAGTTGTAAAATGCTTGAATCCATATCAGGAATTAAAATCGTTTTTGTGTTTCTTGTCAATTATTAATTTTATAAAATATCCCTTGAATCTAATTTATATTCCGTTCAAGCATTTGACTGAGCAGTTACCTGATGCACATGAGACTTTCAAGCTTTTAACTGAAGAAGAAATGGGTAAAATAACATAATTGCCTTTTATTTGTTTTTAAATTTACTATTTTATCCTTCTTCAGTTAAACTTAATGAAT